TTGTAATTATTGTAATTGTCAATCTCAATTCTTCTTTTTGACATTATTAATTAATTTAATTAATTTATGCTTATGCTGTGGTTTTTTTTTTTAATTGAAAATAATATATTAATGAATGAGATAATAATAATGAAATAGTGTTACCAGAATTAGATTTTGACACAGATCTTTTGGTCGAATCTTTTAATTCCAGGACAATCTCATTGTGAAATTGATTCAATATCTTATATTTCATGTTGAGACTTTTTACCTCTTCAATTTAACCTTTTTTCTTGTTTTCCTTCTGATTGTTTCATTATTATGTGTCATTTACCTCCTTCTTCATTATTATATTATTTGGGTTATGGTGATTTTGCATTTCATGATAAACCACATGGTTTATTAACATTAAATGGGTTAGCTTTAGAGCAATTTCAATTTTTTAATCAAGATAGTGTAAAAGATCAATTGAAAATAATCCTGGGAAAAAAATAATAATAATTTAAATTTAGTGGAAAGAAAAATTACTGTTTTTTCACATATGGTGTATTTGAATTTTGGGTATTTTTCATATTTTTTGGGGATGGTATATTTAAATCTGGGTATAATTTTCTAAAAAAAGTGGGTAGAGAAAAGGTGATTTACTATTAAATCTCAAATGTACCATCTATTAGGATTGTTTGAGGTCCTTTTCCACCAATAAACAATTAATTACAATTTTGGTGCTTTTTTTAGAATAAAATGAATTTCTTCCATAGAATTGGAATGTTGATATTGTGCCATTGTTTATTAACTAGAATGCAAGAATAAAGTGTGTTATAGTCATTAGCATCAACACATTTAAGTGCTTCAATTAATAGTTCAAGTGGCAAAGGTGGTGAAACCATCCTTTTTTTTTAATTGGTAGTTGGTTCACGTCATCTAAAGATATATATTAAAATTGATGATCTTTGACTCCACAAAATTTTATGATAATAATAATGAAAAGCTAAAGACCTAAGCTTCATTTCTATCAGTTTACTTTTTTCATTATCATAAATTTATCAAGTCTCAAAGTTGGGGCTTTTTATATTAATATATTACTATATTTAAATTTTAAATTTTCGGACTCTCTTTTTATTGGCCAATTTACTTTTAATCATTCGTCGGTAAAATCATGTGATAATATTTTTGGAAACGTATCAACTTATAAAAATCAAGGAAGAACTTCTAATGGTTTGTTTGGTAGGAAATATGTACAAAATTGACACTGGAGTTGCTGAATAGAATAAAAATTTATAATGAATATGTACCTTTAAATTTGAACAATATTTTCTTTTTAGAAAATGAATTTGACAAGATATATTTTTTTGAAAGTGAGATATTTATAAAATAAAATAAAAATTTCTTTATTAGTATTGTTTTAATTAGGAGCAGATTAATAAATTTGGGGTCATTTTTTGTGTGATGGTCTTTTCAACTTCATGCACAATTCTTCGCCATCCTCCTCCTTATAGATCTGGTGATTTCATTAAATATTCTTTTTTTGATTTTTATTTGAAGGAGTTCTATCATCAGAACATTAAAATGGATGTAATTATGTATTATACAAGTGATTTTTTGTATAAATTTTTACATGTGTATTAATATTAACTTAAACTATAATAGCTCTCATTTTTGATAATATTTACTTTTTGTTCTTTTAAATATTCTTTTTTTTCTTTTGTTATATGTCTATCCATTTTTTTTTAAAGAA